TAGTGGCCTCGTTCTCTTTTTAGAACCGCTGAGTTACTGTGTGATCTGTTCCTACTGAATCCAAGTACACACTTACCGACCCAGGTTTTGAACTCACAATCAATATGTCAAGAAATTGAGGAACAAACTCTTTAATCCAGTGATACAATTCGAAAAATTCCCTGTAGGTTACATGGTTCGACATATACCTGATGATGGCCGCAGGGCACAACGGCTGATACGTTGTGATAACGACAAAGATGAGGATAATAGTCCGAATATAAATAGTGTAACTATGTAAATAATAGTAAGTGAGACACTCTGACGGAATCTCTAAAGTTACATAACATTCCCATATCGTTAAATAAGTTATTGTTAATACTTCTAATATGAAATATTTTATAAACTGTAAATCACACACAATATTTATCCAATCAGAAGTCTCTACAAATATTGGATTAGCCAAGTCATTGTAACAAATAACGCAAGGCACTAACATGGCTTACATAATGTCCTGGGTAGATGATAAATTACATCTGGCAGCAAGGCATCTGATGGGGAGATTGGATGGTTTAAGAAGCTTGGAACAACCTCTAAATTGATGTTGTTCTCAGGTCAACCCTGGCCTGGGGTGGTAGCACCTGTCAAAGTCCCAGCAATGGTCAGATACTGATCCTCTAAACAAAAACAAAACATTATGAAAGTCCAAAAAAAAAAAAAATAATAATACATTTTTATAGTAAAAATATAAGCAATACATTTTTATAGAAAAATGACCAACAATGCATTTTTTAAAGCAAAATTACTAGGATACATTTTATCTGTAGTTAAAGGCATACAATTGCGTTCAAAAGTATTTAGATTTCGGTATTAAATAAAAGTAGTTGATATAAGGTTAAGCAAAACCAAGCAAGCAAATAAACAACCAAGTTGAAAAAGACTCTTTCGTGACATTGATCAATATAATATCTTACAATTTCTCAAACTGTATTCCAAAATATAACTTCAACAAAACTCCGAGATAAAACACACATATCACCGCCTCTCGTAATTATGTCTACAGAAACATGTATATCTATAAAAGCTGAGTATAATCTACCATGTATTCAAATGTGAAAGCAGAATGACATATATCATTTATTTTTATTACTTCATAAAATTAAATTAAATTTCGGCATTAAATGACACATAAGGAGTAGATATACAATTAGACATACAAATCAAAATCAACCAAGGGCTCACATGAAATCTTTTACAGTTTTCAAAATATTGATTTTTCTAGAATCTTTTCTGTGCGACATTTCACTCTAAACAAGGAGATAATTTCACTAGGAGGCAGGGGTTTACAGGGAGTGAAAGGGAATGAGAAAACTTTAGTAAGGAGAATCGAGGAAAAGGACAATAAAGGAACAGCATTTAGGAAGACAGATGATGGCAAATGGCGTTACATATTAAAATCTTTAATCATTGCAGATGGTAGGAAAGCATTTCATCGGATGGGAATTCCAAAGAAGTTAAGTGTTAGTAAAGAAATTATTAGAATGGAACTGACGGTTGCATTTAGCTGGTTCAACAGTAAAACAATGAGACCTAGTTGCCAATCTAGTAGCACATCTGAATTCATGCAGTTGAGGCACAAAGAATAGCAGCTTATCAGAACAATTAAAACGTGAAACTAACATTCAGTATGCAGTGTTGATTCCTATGTAGCGATAAACTCTCGATCTCCGATAGTAAAATCCAATGGAGTTTAGTACAAGACTGCAAATATAAATCAGAGGGTGACAACTCTTTAAGTGATTTCAGTGCGATAAAGAAGCAGTTAAACAACCATACACCACTACCTGCTCCCATAGGAAAAAATACTGTAGCTAACACTATCATTATCAGAACATCTAATTGTAAAAGACAATTTAAGGTAATTGAAATACTTTATATGAAACGGTGTAAGTCAAGTCTCAATCGTATTTGATTTGAGAATGGAAATCGGATGTTGACGTTCTTTTAAAGAGGCGCCAATCATGGGGCTACTAAAGTTGGCAATCAGCACAATACACAATGCAACTTAGAAGGTAAACACAGGAAAGCATACTAACAATGAACATATTGAAAATAGCTCAGGGATTAGGCGAAAGCGCTTGTGAGAGTAATCACTTCAGACTCTCTATATTTAATTCGTTCTCGGAAGAACATTAGAAAAATCGAATATAAATAACTTATTGTATGTTCCGTGTTCATTAGATTTAGTGAAATAAGAAACATTGCTGCGCAGATATACAATATATATATATATATATACGATATATATATATATATATATATATATATATATATATATATATATATATATATATACACAACATTTATTGGTCAGTGTTGAATGAAACCAGGAAACAATTGTATTCAAAAGTGCTCAATACACTAAAAAATAAAAATTTAAATTTAACAGGGCGTCTATCGTCAGAGGAAACCGAACGGGTGAAACCAAGACAACGTGATTGGCTAATATCCTAATCTTTTAAATATATATATATATGTGTGTGTGTGTGTGTGTGTGTGTGTCTGTGTGTGTGCGTGCATGCGTGCGCATGCGTGCGTGCGTGTATGTGTACGTGTGCGTGTGTGTTCGATCTTGTGTGTATGTTTGTGTGTGTGTGTGAGAGAGACGGAGATAGAAAGAGAGACAAACTGAGAAATGTGTTTGTTTAGTAGAGTGCTGACAAATTATTTTAAAAATTGTTTGTTCATTTTCATTTCATCATTTTCAGCACTGGTCCAGAAGTTTTCAGCTCATTGTATATATATATATATATATGTGTGTGTGTGTGTGTGTGTGTATGTGTGTGTGTGTGTGTGTGTGTGTGTTATTAAGAATTTATTTTGATTTGATATGATTTCTGGTGCATAGTCATTTATTTCCGGGTCCCAACTAATGTCAGAAATGGCATCATTACATTTTCCACTCAGCATTTTTTGAAAAAAAAAAACAAAAAAAAAAAAACTAATATCATACAAATATTTTACCTAGATAAAGCCATTCGTGAGTTATGGACTGTATTTGTGAGTACAATGTTTTGTATTTCTTTAAGGTATTGGCTACCAGGAATCCTTTCAATGAGTCTATTGGAATATTTTCCAATCAATCCGAGGCTTCGAAATACAGCTGGAGCTGTTGATGTCCTCATGTTCCATAATTTTGAGATTTCGATTTCAAGGTCCTTGTATTTTAATAGTTTTTTGAATATCTTCAAAGATACCTTACAGGCTGCAGGAACTACCAGTAAGAAAGCACATTTTGTCTTTGCAATTTGTAATCACGATGTCAGGGCGATAAGCTTTGATTGTTCTCTCTGTGTGTATTGTAAAGTCCCATAAAATTGTTACAGGACCTGTCTCCGTAACCGAGTCTGAGTTGTGTTCATAATTTCCTGAAGTTACCTTTCTGTAAGAGTTGAAGGTTTCCCAGTGCAGACATTGGCCCACTCTGTCATGTCGGGGATTATATTAAGTAGGTGTCAATAATGTGCAACCTGATACAAACTGGTCAAATGTTTCTGAATATTTATAACAGAATCTGCATTTTGGGGTAACATAATTTTCCAGAATGTGTGCTTGGTTATTTCTAGTTAGCATGCATTTGTCCTGTGCAGCAAGAATAAAACCTTCGCTTTCAGCTTTTAAACCTGCACTAAGTAGCCACTGATAGGTATGGGGATTGTCTACATCAGCTTGTTTCGCACAGGCATAATATTGACTGTGAAGAGATTTATCCTGTCATCGTTTCTGTATTTGATCGATTGCACTTTTAATTTTTTTTTCCAGCTGCAGTAAGTGTAATATGTTTTACTTACATTTCTTCTGCCACTTCAAACTCCATTTTGAACTCGTTGGCTTCCTTTATTACTGAATAAATACTGAATTATTATTATTATTATTATTATTATTTGTATTTTCTTTGATTTCTGGCGTTTACACATTTCTTTCCGGGTCCCGCCCAGGGACCTAAGGTTAGAAATGGCGTCATGACACTTTCCACTGACAAAAAAAAAAAAAAAAATGATTACATAGATAAAGCCCTTCGTAAGGTGTGGGCTGTACTTGTCAGAACAATTTTTTGTATCTCCTTGAGGCATGGACTTCCAGGAATCCCTTCAATTAGTCTACTGGAATCTTTTCCAACCAGTCCTAGGGCTCCAACTACAACAGGGATTGTTGATGTTCCCATATGCCACATTTTCGCGATTTCTATTTCATGGTCCTTGTACTTTGATTATTATTATTATTAGTTGAAACATTATTACAGTGGCTCCTTGTCATTTTGAAGCGACTCCCCATTTAAGTTTATTAAACTGCATATTGAATATATCGGTTTGTGTATCAATAAATAAAAAATAGTAAAGTAAATGGATGGAACCTGTTTCCCCTTTTGTATTCTATTTGGAGGATATGTTTTCTTTATCATGATCTCTCGAATGCATATATATATATATATATATATATATATATATATATATATATATATATATATATATATATAATCATATTCATAAAGGGAAAGTACTCAATACCAAGAATAGTGTGTGGAGGCATAAAAAAATTTAAGCGTTAAGCGATCATCAAATCATGTGTAAGGTAGTGATGATCATTTAAGCCGTGAAACAGTCACAATCACTCACTATTTTCTATACAGTCAATATATATGTGGGGACAAATTGTATATATATATATATATATATATATATATATATATATATATATATTGAGGGTTCTTGTTCCTAGATGTGAAACTACCATATAGAAATGTTAGATTAGATTTAATAGATAAGACTACATCAGGTAGGTAGATTATAGATAGATAATTATGAACAGATTGTCATAGATAAATAGACAGATAGATACCTAGATAGAGAGACAAATATAGAGAGAGATAGAAACATGTACAGACAGAGATAGATATATACAGACTGAAATAGATATGAACAGACTGAGATAGAGAGTTACATAGCTAGCTAGCTAGCTAGCTAGCTAGATAGATAGATAGATAGATAGATAGATAGATAGATATACGAAATATACAATATTATTCTGTTTGCGTCAATTGGGTTGCCTTGCAACCGTGGTTAGCAATAAATCCTCGCACTCAATTATTTCTGTGGTGATTTTGATCCCCACTGGGTGCCGAACGCTGTGACTTTTAAAACATCGTATCAAAAGTCTATGTGAGGAATACCTTGTTTTCCTTCGATTGTAAAATCACTGAGTGAAACGAGTATTTTTCTGCGTAACTTTACCGGTCACCGGATGTGGTGAGCATGATTACGATGTATATTGTCTTGTTTTTACCGCCGGCTTCTGGGCTTACACAATGGCTCTGACTTGACAATTCAATTGTTGCGTTTAAGTCGGTTTTCTGAAAATTTCTAGATGAATATTCTGATGGTAAAGACGAAATGATCTGTTCTAATATCCCTAAAAATTTCAATTGTTTCTTTATCCATCTCTTCGGACATCTTCCTCGCCATGAACCAATTTAATTCTGTCTAATGCGCTAAATATCCAGAATCAAAGAGAAAATGGTACAAAATGAAAGATTCTTTTTTACTAAGCTAGTCCGTGTTTCTATATTTATCTTTATTATTTATTTTAGGGTATTAAAACAAAAACATCTTAAAAATCGCTACATAATTGCAACCATGTTTCAACGCGACAAATGTGTCTCTTCGGGCGATGTTTAACTAATGGCGAGTGAATAATTAACTTAATTTCAAAATCAGAATACTTCCAATTTTTCGATAAAAAAAAGTGGAATTATACTCCACTTGTTCTCATTTTACCTGGATATCTAACTTTATAGACATCTGAATAAAACTTAACTATTTAAGGCGTGTGACAAAAAACTAAATAAATATTTCATCACCTACTTCAAAAATTCATAGGGGTAAAGGAGTTATAAAATTCAAAACTTCAACCCGTCTATACAAACTGTTTTTCCTAATCATTTCAAGATTTTCTGGCACTCGTTTTTTCTTTTCATCTTTCTCAAGCTTTCTCACTTGCTGTCTAATTTTCCTCCTTGAAAACTTCCTTGTCCCTAACGGCTCTTTGCTATTCTCAACCGAACTGTTGCGAGGAAATGAATAGAGAGCCACATGCACGGACACGCATACACTAAACACTTACATGCTACAAAGTAACGTTATATTCCAAAATTACAGTAAGAACCAAAGGAAACTTTTAAAAAAATACATAGGGACAATAGAAATAACCTGAAAATATAGAAGTTACTCACAAAAAACATCGTGTAACAATAAAATAATGCAAATACCGCAACGCATTCACGATAAATATGGAATCTGTTGTAACCTAGAAAAGTTTACTGAATGAGGAATAAAAAAAGAATGGAGGTTAGAAATGAAATAATAATCTTTATAACATCAGCAACGTACAATACTCGCCAGCGGCGTGAAGTAGGGGAACCACTGCTAGTAGTGGACCACTTACAATAGCGTCCAACGTATTTATGAGAATTGGGACATACCCATTAGTGTTAATATGTACGGTATATAACAGAATCTCAAAAGGACAAAAGAAACTAGGCTCGCGATGAGGTTTCATCAATTTATAGTTGAGATGACGAGATGTAACCGTAAGTTTAATGCTAATAGTTTATTTTCTCCACAAATCTCGCATGTGGAACTCTCTTCCGACTCCATGATTTCCAGCCAACTGTTTTAATCTTCAAAAATTTAAATGCAATGTCAATCGCTATCTACTGATCTCCGAATTGCTCTTCTTTTGTTCTCGTTCCTTAGCAACGTTTTTATAAATTTAAAAAAAAAAATGAAATAAATAAATGATCACAAACAAGTTATGGCTATAAATATTCTAAAAAAACGAGGAAAGCGATTCACCTCTTTACTCAGCCCTCAATAAAACCATGCACCTTAGCGTGCAAAAGTTTTGGGCTTACGACATAAAACGAGTTTTAACACGTGAAAATTTCAAGGTTTTCCTATTTTAATGTTCAGTCAATGATTGAATAAGCTCATGACCGGCCTCAATGTTCGAAAAAATTCGTAGAAAATATGCGTTCTTCGACAGAAATCGAACCTGCATTGCTATTTGATCTGACATGCTATGCCATTTACTGTCTAGTTAGTAAATTCCAAGTTACTGTTACGCATATTTTTTCCGAAATTTCGCGAACATTCAGGCCGGTAAATGTAATTAATACTCTTTAATTAAAGACAGATCATTTACTTAAATAAATTGTATCTTGAAAAAAAAAAACGTATAAACAGAAAATGTATTAAATAATTGTAAGACTTAATCCATTTCATTATATGTTGTCATTGTTTACGTTAAGATACATTTCATGAGCAGATATGATCTATCGAGAAAATCGTCGAAGGTTGTGTGTTTATAAACAGTGAATTGGATTTTGCTAACCAGATGTTTCTCTGTAGCTAAATGGTATATAGCACGTCAGATAAAAAGATGTTTTCCTATATTAATTAAAATTCGATTCCTGTTAGAGAACGCATATTTTCTACAAAATTTCTCGAACATTCAGGCTAATTAATGTAATTAATATTGTTTATTATAAACAGAGCATTTACTTGGAATAACGTATAAACAGAAAATATGTTAAATAATTGTCGGGCTTAATTCATTTCATAATACATACATATATATATATATATATATATATATATATATATATATATATATATATATATATATACATATATATATATATATATGTGTGAAAAGTGTATATAAATATAAATAAATATAAGTATGTATAATTATTTATATATTATATGCGCGGTACTTATTAGAAAGCGCTCAATATCAGAGATAGAGCTAACATATTTGGTTGGATAGATGTGAGTTTGTGACCCTGGGTTTCACACTTTAGCGATCGTCAGACAAACTGATTAATGTTTTAAAAAATTTGGGTTTATGTAGATTGCGTGTGTTGGTGTTATTGTGGAAGTGGTGGGGGAAATTTAATATGACATGTATACAGTAACGAGACATTTCCGCCACACTTCCAATGTTTAAATTTCAACATTTCAACATACAAATGCGTATGTATAGATATAACACCGCCCGTATACATACATGTGTCATAGCCGAAACTGCCCACATACGTTTATATATGTATGAGTCCCGACGGACGACCAAGTATGTATATGTGTCTGCATATATCGATGTTTGCGTTAGTACGATAAATGACAAAACGACGAAATTTCCCCCACCACTTCCACAATAACACCAATACACGCAATCTACATAAACCCAAATTTTTTAAAAACATTAATCAGTTTGTCTGACGATCGCTAAAGCGTGAAACCCAGGGTCACAAACTCACATCTATCCAACCTATATATATATATATATATATATATATATATATATATATATAGATAACTAGACTCGTTTCGAAAAACCCTCGAATTTTTGATTTGCTAATCAAATCAATCTCGAGGGAAAAAAGGTTTTAAAAAAAGAAAGAGCTACAAACATGGACTTCTGCCGACAAAAAATCGCACAGATGCAGGTCTGAAGCCCAAAGAAAAAACCCTGATACGAGTAACAACTAACTAACAAAAGAGCTCAATGCAACCGTAGAGCAGACCTAGATACACCTAGTGAGCCAGACAAACCTACCTAGGTTTCACCTAAACGGATCGTCAGGAAAGTTTGTCTGGCTCACTAGGTGTATCTATATATATATATATATATATATATATATATATATATATATATATATCTCCAGCTTCTATCCTACGAACGCAGATGTTCCCCAAGGCTCCATCCTAGGTCCTACTATGTTCCTCATCTTCATCAACGATCTTCCTGACGCTATTGATTCTCAAGTAGGCATCTACACGGAAGACACTACAATTTACTCCTGAAAAACAAATCTAGTGTCGCTGACAAAACTAACCTGGCCGTTCGTCTCGAAAAGGGCCTCCGATCGGTTTTGAATTGGGGCAGGAATTGGCTGGCTAACTTTGACGCAACCAAAACAAAACTACTCTCTATTAATTATCACAGAGATCCTTCCCTGCCGCCCATTAGAATATCTGACGCTCAACTTCCCGAAAGCACCTCTCTGCGGCTGTTTGGTCTTACCTTGTCTACTGACCTGAGATGGAACAAATACATTGAGTCAAGTAGCTGGAATGTCGAACTGAACTCTTTATCTCGCTCACTGAGGTAGACTGTTCTAGTTCCACGTGCCATGTTTAATGGATGTCAGTTATCTGTTATCTCCTGTTATTTTCCCTCTCTAAGTTCTCCACTGCCATAACCGGGTATTGAACTCACACTCTTTGGGTCCTGTCACTGGATCTAACCAACGCATTTAACCACTGTGCCATGTGCCGAAACGTTGTAATAAATATGGCAACAAAGATAAAGACAATAGTCCGAATAATGCAAATAATGTAACAGTTTTTTCTATCGCACTTCTCGCCTGTGGAACTCTATTCCGGCTTCTTGTATTTCATTCAAGATTGAATTTCAAAAATTTAAAATGCAATGTCAGTCGTTAACCTCTGTCTTCTTAATTCAAGTTCTTTTATTAATTTCTCTCCTTAATAGTATTTTTTTCTTTTTCTCTTCTCATTCTCTCTAATATTCTGTCTTAGTGGCTTTATTACCTTGCTTGGGAGGAGATGCTTAAAATTATAACTATTCTTAGCGGTATTATTTTTAGCTGGAGAATGAAAGCAATCCTTTTGTTTTACACTGGAATGTCTACTTTTTTGATGTGGACGTGATTATTTAGAGAGATAAAAAGGAATCAGCAGGAGAAAGAATGAAGGTTTCAACGCTGCGAGGAAAAGCAGACAGAATAGTACTTGTTTTAATGTTAGTTATTTAAGTGTTACCCTTGTCAGAATGGTACGAAAACAAACAATGCTGAACTTAGGTATTGAAGCGCGAACTGTGAACCTTTCGAGACTAATTAGCATTGTACTTACTTAAGGGGTGATGTTGCCGAAACGAAGGGCGAAAACTGAATTAGAAGCATGAATGGTGTTGGGGTGGAGAAGCTGAAAGCCGAAGAAGAAACAGAAAAAGAAGACGTTCATAAAAATACGTCAAAAAAGAAAAAAGAAAAAAAACGAAAACAAAGCAAGAATTACAGTTGCCATCGAAAAATAAAATGATCTGTGAAGAAGAAGAGAAAGAATAATTGCTTAAGCACAGGGAAAGAAAGAAAGAAAGAAAGAAAGAAAGAAAGAAAGAAAGTAAGGTAACAGCACTTACCGTTTCATATGGAAAGAAATGAATTATTAAGAAAGGAAGAAGTCGACATAATCTATGAAGATATGTGGAAAATAAGGAACTATAAAGAAAGAAAAAGGAAAGAAAAATGAATAAAGAATGAAAGAAGTAAACAGAATTTTTCAGGGCTTGACAAAAAGGAAATATTAAGAAAAGCAGTAACAATGAAAGAAAGAAATAATGAAAAAAGAAAGAAAGAAATCAGAAAGAAAGAACATTAGAAATAAATAGAGAAAGAAAGACGGGAAAAAAGAGAGAACAAGTAAAAAAAAAAAAAAAAAACGAGAAGAAAAAAAATGAAAGAAATAAAGAAAGATATAATTCGACACAGCCTATGAAGATATGAAAAAAAAAACAAGGAAATATTAAGGAAGGAAGAAGGAAAGAAAGAAAATGGTGAAGAAAGAAAGAAAGAAAGAAAGAAAGGAAGGAAAATTAAAAATAAATAAAGAAGCCAACGCAAACTATGAAGACAGAAAGAAATAAGAAAATATTAAGAAAGAAAGAAAGAAAGAAAGAAAGATAGAGAAAGGAAAGAAAAAACAAAGAAAGAAGTCGGAACAAACTATCAAGATATGAAAAAACTAGAAAGAAAGAATATGGAAAGAACGAAAGAAAAAAAGAAAGGAAGAAAAAAAGAAAGAATAATAGAAAGAAAGAAAGAATATTAGAAACAAATAATATTAGAAAATAGAGAGAAGAAAAAGATAGAAAGACTATTAGAAAGAAAGAATATTAGAAATAAATAAATATTACTAGAAAGAAAGAGAGAATAAAAAGTAAGAAAGAAAGAAAGAAAGACTATTATAAAGAAAGAAAATTATAAAGAAAGAAAGAATATTAGAAAGAAAGAAAGAATATTAGAAATAAATAAATATTACTAGATAGAAAGAGAGAATAAAAAGTAAAAAAGAAAGAAAGACTATTAGAAAGAAAGAATATTAGAAAAAAAGAAAGAATATTAGAAAGAAAGAGAGAAGAAAAAGTAAGAAAGAAAGAAAGAATATTAGAAAGAAAGACTATTAGAAAGAAAGAATATTAGAAAGAAAGAAAGAAAGAATATTAGAAAGAAAGAATATTAGAAATAAAAAATTATTACTAGAAAAAAAGAGAGAAGAAAAAGAAAGAAAGAATATTAGTAAGAAAGAAAGAAAAAAGAAAGAAAATAAATAAAGAGTCAAGGAAAAAAGAAACGAAAAAAAATCTGAAAAGAAAAATAAATTTTAAGAAAAATAAACAAAATGTAAGAAAGAAAGAAAAATTACTTTAAGAAAAAAAAGTAATTAATTAAGGGTAGAAAGAGAGAGAACGAGAGAGACATTAACAAAAGTAGAAAAAATAATAAAAAAATGTAACGAAAGAAATGTACACACTTGACGGGGAAAAAAAGCAATTAAAAAGGAAGAAAATCATAAAAGCGAACTTAGCTAAGAAAAAGAAAAAAAAATGGCAGAATATAAAACAAAAAATACTTAAAGTCAAATGAAGGAAAACAAGGAAAATGCGTGCGTTTGTGTATCTGTTTTTTTTTTTATTATTATTCTATAAATGTGTATCTGTGTATGTGCTGGTTTGTGTCTGTGTGTGCACCCATTGATAACCTGGGATGTGTGGACGATTTCTTATCGAAATAAAGAGATAAATATTGACTTAGTGATTTAGAAATTTCCGATAATTTGTAAAAAAATATAGAGAGATGGTTATAACAAATAACCCTCGACTGTTCTTAATTAAATATATATCAGTCACTTTGAATGCTCCAAAAGTAATACTCCCTGTTTATTTCCACTTATACAGCACAATCATACGTTTGGGTAGAGCTACACTATTCACTATACTCGCAAAAAAAAAAACAAAAAAAAACGAATCAACACTATCGATTAAGCATTTTATAAGGGACGCATTATAGCCTACAGACCAGCGATGACTGTGTCGTTTCCGAATTGTAGGTGTTTCAATAGCCCGAACAGGTGAATATCAAAAAGGTGTCAAATCTGAACGATGCTGTTCTTTTTTATTACTTCAAACATTATTCTTAAAGTAGACCCGTAGACGAAAGAGTATTTCTTTTCGTTTACCGGTCTGCTACCGCTAGAAGATTTTTAAACGGAACGTCTACTCAAATACGGTTATCCACGGAAAATAGCGTTTGTTGTGATAAAAGATATTAAAAAAATAAAACGCAGTAATTCTTTAGAAGCTGTTCTTTTTAACAAGTGAAAAAATATCGGTTTATTGGCAACGAGATTCCACTTGTATTATCATACCAAAGTTTGCTTTAATAATTGATCAATTAATACAAACTCCAAGAAACATTCAATGTAAAAGGTTACTGGATTAAGCTGTTAGATAAACGTAAGAAGGGGAGGCAACCAGGGATTTACTTTGTTATTTTTAATATCTAAAAAGTAACTGATGATGTTCGTGGACGTGCATACACATTTCTCTAGGTAAATACCAAGGCGACTGGACGAATAGTAGACTTATAGATATGTAGGATAGATTCGTAAGAGACAAATGGTTTCGCACGACACAGAGAACCAACTTTCTTAGCAGCTGACCTAGCAATGAATTTAATATAATCTTCCCATTTCATATCAGCCGAGAACGCTAACTGGAGTCCTAACTGGAGTCCTGGAGTGCGACGGATTCGCAGGGTGTTACATAGAGTGAAGGCGAGAGAGAAACAAACTGTGTATATGGGGAATGAGGAAATGATAAAAGATTAACGGGGTTCAAGAGATCAGAAGATGACGATTGACGTTGCATTTAAATTTTTGAAGACTGTGGTTACCAGGGAAGAAGTTAAACGGAAGAGAGTTCCACAGGCAAGAAGTGCGAGAAAAAGAAGCTCTTTGAGTAGAAGTAGCGGTTACGTTTATCTATTTCAACGGTATAAGGTTGGTACCTGGGTACCAGTGTAGTAACACGCTTAAATTTATGCAGTCGGGGCATCATGGAAAAATTCGTGCCAGAGCAGTTGCCATGAAAATATTTGTAGAAAAGACAGAGGGAAGCCACGTCACATCTGTGAGAATATGATTGGGTTCGAGATGCCAAGTCAGTATCGATTGCATTGCAGAATCTTCTTTGGATTTTGTCGAGAACCTCAAAATGAACAGCAGGGGCACCCGACCAGATATAGCAACAGTATTCAATGCACGGACGGATAGCAGATTTGTAGATAAGTAAGATGGACTCTGACGTGAAAAAAAAAACCTCCTGGGGCGACAGTGTGAGGCAACTTTCCTTGCAGCAGATGCAGCTATTGATTCAATGTAGTTGTTCCACTTCAAGTCATAGATAGATAGATAGATAGATAGATAGATAGATAGATATGAAATCTGACAGAGATAGAAGACAGGAAGAAAGATTAGTGAAAGGAATATTGGAACAAAAAAAAAAGAAAAGAGAAAAAAAGAAAGAAAAAGAAAGAAAGAAAGAAAGAAGGAAAGAACGAAAGACAAATAAGAGGTACATCGGAATAGAAACGCAAAAAGAAACAAAGAAAAAAATAAACAAAAAAGAAAGAAAGAAAGAAAAAGAAATAAAGAAATTAAAAAGAAGAAAAATATAAGGAAAGAAAAAGAAGGAAAAAGAAAGAAAAAAGAAAGAAATAATAAAAAAGGAAAAACAAAAAAAGGAAAAACGAAGAAAAACGACAGAATGAAAAAGTAAAAAGCAAAAAGAATGTAAAAAGATAGAAAAAGAAAGAATGAAAATGAAAGCAAATGAGTAGAAAGAAAAAGAAAGAAAAAGGAAGGACGGCAAAGAAAGTAAAAAAGAAAGAAAAAATAAAGAAAATCAAAAGTAAAATGAGAAAGAAAAAGAAAGAAAAACGAAAGAATGAAAAAGAAAATAAAAAGAAAGAAAAAAGTAAAAGAAAGAAAGAAAAATGAAGAAAAACTAAAGAATGAAAAAGAAAGAAAGTACAAAGAAAAAAAGAGAGAGAAAAAAAAGAAAGGAAAAGAAAGAAAGACAAGAAAAAGAAAGCAAAAAGCAAACAAGGAAAAGAAAGAAAAAAGGTAAAGGAAGGAAACAAGAAGGAAATCAGAAGAAAAAAAATAATTGTTTTACATCAGATTAAAAAAGCCAAAGGTAAAATGTCTATCTGAACAAATAAATCAAAAAGAAAAAAAAATCTTCCTCCTTTTTTTCAATCAGTAAAAACGTATCAGTTATCTTTCCTGTTTTAAGTTAAATATACAAACATTGTTAGGGAGGAGATCGTTTCAGTGTCGGGTGGCTGCTTCTTCCTCCGCACTTTATATTCTTTGCACCTGTGTCTTGTCGAAGCAGAAACTTACTGCCATGAACTTGTCTCTCTTTCATTTATCTTTCTGTCGCCAACCGCCACACGCCAGCACCAGCCAAACCTTTTGGTTCACTTCTGATCCAGTTGTTCTTTATTCTTTTGATTGTACAGCGTGTATTTCGAATAAAAAGTTCATGTTCCCCTCTATCGATATTTAACTAAGTACATTACAAGACCGTAGGAGAGTAGTACAACTAAGACGTATTGTGTATTGTCAATCTTTTACGCAAAGGAAAGCCTTTCTGCATCGAGAGACAGTTCAGAAAAGACTGGCTTTTATCTCGACTCGGACAATGATCATTGACAGAGGGTAGCTTTCTCAAGTAAAGAGATATGCTTAATTTCTTTTTAATAAACTTTGTTTAGTCTGGTACAGCGCCAAGGTTAAGAAGTGCTCACCGATGATCACATTTACAACATCACCGAAAACGTGTGTGCGAGACGAATTGGTTATATATTACGTTAAGGTAGACGTTCTAGTTATTTAATTCTAAGTATTTTGTTCGTATAAAGAATGAGAAAAGCGTAAACGAATCTGTTGGGGAATAGAAGTCAAGTCATTGGATAGCGATATGTAAACGCTGTCAAACGAAATCGGCAGTTATAACGTTTTAATTTTGTAATATAATATTCATATAGTAAAAGTTAAACTATATATATATATATATATATATATATATATATATAGTTCCCTCCTGAGCAATGGTGAGAGGAAAAAAGATCATCCAAGCCCACAGTAATGATGCCAACATTCATACTCTGGCTTCCAGTTTCAAAGTCCATTCAAGAACTATCAAGAGAATGATGAATAAATTTAAAAAAGAGGGAACAGTAGAGATGAAAACTAGATTCGGAGGTCCAGCAGGAAGAAGGATCATCATTTCAACTTTCAGCTAAAGAATTCAATTAGAAAAGATCCAACTCAAGCTGTAAGACTTTGGCACGTGAGAGAGGAGTTTCATCTATACCAATCCAAAGAACAGTGAAAAAGGATTTGAAAATGAAATCGTTCGTGAAACGTGCGAGTCACCTTATAATTCCAGTATAGAAAGTTAGACATTTAGAGACAGCGTAGTTGATATTAACTTAGTTGAAAATGATCCGGAATAATATATATATATATATATATATATATATATATATATATATATTTATATATATATATATATATAAAGTTCATATATATATATATATATATATATATATATATATATATATATATATATTAAAATAAAGTTCATATATATATATATATATATATATATATATATATATATATATATATATATATTTCAACTTTATTTCATGAGCTTCCGTTACTTAGCTATGTTTAATTAATGATGAACATGTCATTTTCTTTTATGATGTAGAGTAATTATATATTCCTATTGCTCAAAGTAATGTACAATAGTCTTATAAAAACTTCAGAAAATTCCAGTAAGATATCTTTAATCATTTCTAAGATACAACGGTTCAAATCTTCTTCCTACAATTGGACAATTTTGCTGTTACATGATTTGGATAATTTTGCTGTTACACACGTTATATAAGCACCAAACTTCATTTTATAATATTAAATATCGCAATCAGACGTCTTTATCTAAATATTTTTGGCATTTAAAGAAAACCAATAAGACTCGAACATAAAATGAAAATTAATAAAAAAAGAACATGTAGATCTTTAAATGACCCATGTCATTTGTGCATCCATGAAAAGTTAGAAAAGTTTCTGAAAAATTAAAAATCTATTAAAAGAAATGTAATAGCAATATTTGTAGACACTAGCAAGTTTTATCTTTAAGTAATAGTTAATTTTATAAAATGAAACCAATATATTTATATTTGAACATAAATAAAATAGTTTATGAATACATAATTAGAGTCTAATTTATTAATTTTAACATTCACATATATGTACCCAATTAGTAAACAAATTTAATATAATATCTTAAGACGGTACAAATAAAAATACAAATATCAAAAATGTGACTAAATAATATTTGAATGCTCCTTTTGAAAAAATCGTAATAGAAAATTATTAAAAATAAAAATTAAATAAAATATTAAAAATAAAAATGCCAAATGTATTGCTATTGTAACACAGACGAAGTTTTGGAACATAGACACTGGCACAAATTACTACTTGAAAAAAAGGTAGTTTGTATCAATTGACACATACCCAGCCCCTACACTGACTTCACCGACTTGAGAGCTGCAATACATTCGATACATGAGTTTTCTAAATAAGTTAAATCCTAACACACCCTAAAATAAAAATTAAAAAAAAATTTTAAATTTTCCGCAAGCCCAACATCTGAAAATATACATTTGTTCTGGACTTATAAATTAAGTAAATCAATTTCTAAAAAGTTATTCTTAGCATCGCTTGATAATGGAAGGGATTTTTGTATTTCAAGTTTAATTTTATGATTGAATTTAAATTGAAGTTTCAGTTTTGAAACATGGAAATTTCGGTGTTATGATGATAATGTATTTTTAAAAAAGCATTTATAATATTATGCTCTACTGCTGTATCGAGCACTGTTTTTTTAAATAAGAATAAATGTTAAGAACTCTGAATTATAAATCTCATTGTTCTTGCCTATTATTTTAAGGTACGGTGGAGTAATGGATAGCGGCTTGGATTGGGGAATCGGTGATCCGAGTTCGAATTCCAGTCGAATCCATTACATTCACTTACGTGCTAATACCCTTGGGAAAAGTATGAATCCTTTTCTTCTCCCTCCAGCTATAGTTAAAATAGCTGGACAGACTGGGTTCTATAGCCTTGGATGGCAACTGGTCTAGGAGAAGGACAACTCTGAATTCAAAACCTGCGGAGGGTCGCTTGTGGCACTCAGTGCACCGGGTCTCTATATTCGGCCCTTCAAAAAGTGTGGATGGTCCTGCACGAAACCTTCACCACTATAATCAAATCTCATGTGTCGTTGTCGGTTTCCTGGAAACTGATGTACTTGGTCCTCATACGTCGAAATCGACGGGAGAGTCGACTATATATATATATATATATATATATATATATATATACTAAATAAATAAATTAAGCAAACAAAAAGTTTTAAAAAATAAACAATAAGCAACTTAATAAACTAGAAATTGACATATAAATACAAATAATTGTATAATTATTATTATTGATCAACGACACATAATAAAGTAACCAATAAAGAATTACGAGTATAAATAACACTATAAAATCGCTGGAAATAACCGCATTCAGATTTCCAATTATTCATACTCAGTAGCCTATAGAATACTTTGAAACATAACAGATACCGCCTACCCAATAAACGTTAGGATAATCGGAGCATAGATATGGCACAATGCTGAAACTATGGAGCACCCCGTGAGGATTGAACTCACTATTCAGTCGTAATTCTTATAGTGTGACACGCTTGCTACCCATTACACCGCCTCGATGTGCCCAAACGTTAGGATAATACAATCAAACTTACTACCCATAATTCACCACTGGCCATCATATATAAGTAGCCGAACCAAAATACAACAACACACATGACGATGACGGTGATGATTGCAAGTAAAAATAAAGAATTCTTATAGGAGTCGTAGATGTTAATTAATATCGAAATATTTGACCAATTTTGCTCTCGTTATATTTTCTGCCAGCTTAATCTATAATTTTTAAGTAAAATTATCTACATTGTTGTCGCATACAACAAATATTTTTTTTTATAAATTATTAAAAATATACGAAGAAAACTAACACGTTTCGCACAATAAAAATGCTTTAATAATTTTATAGCTACAATAGCTGTATTTTCTGTGAAGGGTAATCAGTAATTATTTTTATAATTATATATGTTATCGTATATCACATAATTCTCCTTTTAGATGAGTAAAAAATAAATATATAATAAATAAAAAATAAAAAAAAATATATAAACAAAAAAAATAAAAAAATATATCATTAATCCGTTCCAAGTTCATTATTTTTTGTTTAACGTTATATCTACTTTTTATGGGTCATTTAATACCGGATTTTAGTTTTCTAGGGAGCTTTGAAATAATAAATATATGATATATGTTATTCTGCTTTCACATTTGAATACATGGTAAATGATACTCAGCTTCTGTGCATATAAAAGTTTGTGCGGACGTAATTACTAGAGGGGGCGATATGTGCGTTTTATTTTGTAGATTTTTTCTAGTTTATTTTTGAATACAGTTTGAATTCTATGAGAAAATGTAGGATATTATATAAGTGAAAGAGTTCATTCATGTTGGTTGTTTGGTAACATATTAAACGGATTTAGGTGAAGTCGCTACAATTTTTAGTATGTGTTTTATTGTGTATAATTCTTGGCACGACGTTCAGATTGAATGTTGGTCGGTTGATTTTGTTTGGCAGCCTATCAACACCTCTATGCCGAAATCTAAATAATTTGAACGCAATTTTATGGCTTCAACTAAATATAATTTACATTATTCGGACTGCTATCACCATCTTCAATGCCAAAATAACAACGTTTCGGTCGTTGTACGATCCGGTCTTCTTCGGCTGATTGAAATTTCGAACAGAATACTTTATTTCGAAATAAAGGTTTAG